TCAGCAAGGCTGTTTGAGAAGTGATTTGTCCAAAATCAGAATCATGTTTCCCATTAGAAATCATGTAAATTGAATTAATTTATTCCAGACCCCCAAATGATTCTATTTTAACCTTTCTTATACACAGTACATGTCTAATGTACCATTTAATCTCTAAACAAACACTCTGTTCTTAATTTATAGAACCAGTTCAATCCCTAGCCTCAGTTGGGGCACATGCAGGAGGCAAACAATCAATGTGTCTCTCTCTCACTGATGTGTCTTTCAATCTCTCTTCCCCCTCTCTCCCTTCCATTCACTCTAAAAATCAATGGAAAAAATATCCTCGGGTGAAAAAAAATGCTCAACATTATAAGGCATTAGGAAAATGCAAATCAAGACTATATAATAAGCATGGTCAGTATGGCTCAGCTGGTTGAGCGTCGTCCCATGAAACAAAAGGTCGCCAGTTCAATTCCCGGTCAGGGCACATACCCAAGTTGCGGATTCTATCCCCACTCAGGGTGTGTATGGGAGGCAACCGATGGATGTTTCTCTCTCTCTCTAAAATCAATGAAACATATTTTATTTCATTATTATTATTTTTTAATCCTCACCTGAGGATATTTTTCTATATATCTTCAGATAGAGTGGGAGGGAGAAAGAGGGAGAGAAAGGGAGAGAGAAACATCAGTGTGAGCACACTGACTGGTTGCCTCCCACATGACCCCGACCCAGGGTCATACCCACAAGAACCGCAACCGAAGTATGTGCCCTTGGCTGGAATTGAACCCGAGACCCATTGGTCCGCGGGCCGAGGTTCCAACCTCTGAACCAAACCAGCCAGGGCTAAAACATATTTTTATTTATTTATTTATTTTTAATCATCACCTGAGCACATTTTTGCATTTATCCTCAGATAGAGGGGGAGGAAGAGAGAGAGAGAAGCATCGATGGGAGAGAGATACATCAAGTGGTTGCCACCCAATGACCCCAACCGGGGCCGGGGACAAACTGCAACCGAGGTACGTGCCCTTAGCAGGAACCGAACCCGGGACTCTCTGGTCCATGGGCCGATACTCTAACCACTGAGCCAAACCAGCCAGAGCATATTTTTATTTTTGGTATGTGCCCTTAGCAGGAACCAAACCCGAAACTCTCTGGTCCACGGGCTGAGGTTCCAACTGCTGAGCCAAACAAGCCAGGGCTAAAACATATTTTTAAAAAGACTATATAATAAGACATCAATTCATACCCACTAAAACAGTTACAATCAAAGACAGGCAACCATAAGTATTGACGAGAATGTGGAGGAAGTGGAAGCCTCATACACTGCTGATGGGAATGTAAAATGGTTCAGTGACTTTGCTTTGTTTTATTTATTTATTGATTTCAGAGAGCAAAGAATGGGGGAGAGAGAGAAACATCAATTTGTTATTCCACTTATTTATGCATTCGTTGGTTGATTCTTATATGTGCCCTGACCAGGGATTGAACCTGAAACCTTGGCTTATTAAGATGATGCTCTTACCAAGTGAGCTACCTGGCCAGGATTCAGTAACTCTGGAAAACAGTCTGGCAGCTCCTTAAAAATTTAAACACTGAGTTACGCTATGATCCAGCAATTCCACTATTACCCAAGGTATATTAGGTATACCCTGTTACGGGCTCATCCAAGCCATTTTCAGTGGCTTTATCATACAACTAGCCTCTCTTGCCTCATGCTTCACACTTCCTTAAAATCTCTCAAACAAGCAGCATCTGGCCTCAGCGTGCTCGGTACCTCTTGCTAAGTGGCCCCAACCCTGGCACTAGCAGCAGCAGCCTGCCTTGGTTCACAGATTGGCCTCTCCCGGGCACCTCCGAGCCCAGCACAAGTAGCAGCAATCCACAGATCGCTCAGCAGCTCAAGTCAGGTGGGACCCAGACAGGGCATAGGCAGTAGCTGACTTTGCACCTCCCAAGAGGCCCCAGAACCAGTGTACCTGGTGGTCAGCTTCAGACCACACCGGATTACAACTTCTACCACTCCACGAGTGACCCACTCAAGGGGTGGACTCAGTGAGCACCAAAGCCCCACTGAAGCCAGTTCTCCTCCATAGGTCAGGTCCTGCACAGCAGCTCTTCCACTGTAGTTGCAGCTGGTCCTCACAGCCGAATGGCCTGGGAACAACTCTTCCCAGTGATGCCAAGAGCAATCAAGGCTCAAGTACAACAGGACAGTGCACACAGCCCAAACAGCGGTGCACCTGGAGGGCCCAGCTCAGGTGACTGGGGAGGCTGAACCACTGGGTCCTACAGGACACCTACTAGACAAGGCCACTCTACCAAGTCCAAAAGACTCAACAGCTCTACCTAACACACGGAAACAAATACAGGAAAACAGCCAAAATGCAGAGGCAAACAAACATTTCGCAAAAAAAGAACAGGAGAAATCTCCAGGAAAAAAAACTAAATGAAAGGGAAGCAAGCAAAATACTACATACAGAATTCAAAACAATGGTCACAAGGATGCTTAAGGAACTTAGTGAGAACTTCAAGGAACTTAGTGAGAACAACAACATCATGAAAAAAGACTTAGGAACCAGTCAGAAATGAAAGATTCACTAACTGAAATAAGGAATAATTTATACGGAATCGAGAGTAGAGTAGAGTAGAGGACGCCGAGAATCAAATCAGTGATTTGGAATATGAGGAAACAAAAAACACCTAATCAGAACAGCAAAAGGAGAAAAGAATACAAAAGTATGAGGATAGTGTAAGAAGCCTCTGGGACAACTTCAGGCATACCAACATTCACATCATGGGTGTGCTAAAAGGAGATAAGAGGAAGCAAGAAGTTGAAAACCTATTTGAAAAAAATGACAGAAATTTTCCCTTACCTGATGAAAGAAATAGACATACAAGTCCAGGAATCTGAGAGAGTCCCAAACAAGATGAATTCAAAGAGGCCCACACCAAGACACATCATAATGAAAATGCCAAAGGTTAAAGACAAAGAAAATCTTAAACACAGCAAGAGAAAAGCAGAAAGCGCCCATAAAACTGTCAGCTGATTTCTCAACAGAAACTTTGCAGGCCAGAAGGGAGTGGCAAGAAATATTCAAAATGATGAAAAGCAAGGACCTACAACCAAGATTGTTCTACCCAGCAAAGCTATCATTTAGTTATCAAAGGACTGATAAAGAGCTTCCCAGACAAGAAAAAGCTGAAGGAATTCACTACCACCAAACCAGTATTACAGGAAACATTAAAGGGTCTTCAAGAAAAGGAAAAAAAAAAAAAATGTAAAAAAATATGAACAATAAAATGGCAATAAATACATATCAACAATTGAATCTAAAAATCAAAATGAATGAATAAGCAGAGTAGAAACAGACTAATAGATACAAAGAACATTTTGATGGTTGCAGATGGGAAGGGAGTCTGGGAAATGAGTGAAAAGGGTGAAAGAATTTAGAAGTACAAATTAGTAGTTACAGTATAGTCATGGGGGTGTAAAGTGCAGCACAGGAAATATAGTCAATAATATTCTAATAACTAGGTATGAGATTTTTGGGGATGATCACTCAGTAAGTTTTATAATATTTAGTCACTGGAGTGTGCATCTGAAACTAATATAATATTGTATGTCAAGTATAATTAAAAATAAAAAATGATTATAAAAAACAATTCCACCAGGAAAAAAAAAAAAGAAGCAGCAAGACAGCCCTGGCCGGTGTGGCTCAGTGGTTTGAGCGTCGGTCTATGTATCAAAGGTCATGGGTTCAAGTCCTGGTCATACCTGAGTTGCAGTTTGATCCTTGGCCCCAGTCAAGGCATGTGTGGGAGACAACCAATTGATGTGTCTGTCTCACAATGATGTTCCCTTTCCTCCCACCCTCACCCCCCCGACACTCTAAAAATCAATGGAGAAAAAAATATATATATCATTGGGTGAGGATTAACCGAAAAAACAAAACAAGACCAAACTTTAGACTTCTTTTTAGCTGCTTATGGAGTTTAGACACTGTGATTGTTAATGGTCCTGCACAGGTAGACCAGAGCTACAGAACTTCCTGAACTGAGAATCGCTCTTATAGAAAATCAAATATGTTATGTTGGGTACAATTTCTAAGCTGAGTAATCATGATGATCACAGCATGTGACAACACAAAACTCTATTCATTTATCCCTTCCTTCACTCAAATATTTAATGAGGGATTATTATGTGTCCAACCCTATGCTAGGAACTTCTGATATAACAGTCATCGTAAAGAGACTTGCTTCATGTTCCAATGGAACTTAGTCTAGTAGAAGAAACAAATATAAATCAAATCATTGCAAACAATTTAATGTGTAGATAAAATTGGGACCAGTGCTGTGAAGAAAATTATTCTGCAAGCAATGAAAGATTTTATTTATTTTTTAGTATTTTTTTCTTTATTGATTTTAGAGAAAGAGGGAGAGAGAGATAGAAACATCAATGAGAGAGAACATCGACTGGCCACCTCCTGCATGCCCCCCACTGGGGATTGGGACCACAACCTGGGCATGTGTCCTGACTGAGTATTGAACCTGTGACCTCTTGGTGCATAGGTCAATGCTCAACCGCTGAGCCACACTGGCTGGGCACAATGGAAGATTTTAAAACAAGCACAGTAGCATGTTCAGGAAAAAAATCTTGCAGTTAAATGAAATTACAGTGTGAAGAGGTACTTAAGGCAGTAGAACCAAATAAGTACATAGAATTACAATGTTAATATTCTTCTACTTCTCATGAAAGGTGCCAAGGAATTTTCAGTGAATACAAATCGAAGGCCAGTTTTATTGCTGATGTCCTCAAAGCACTTTGGTCGTGCCACAGCCCAGGGCCTTGGTTCAGCAGATACTACATCCAGACAGTACTTAGTAAGTAGTATGAGAGCCTTTTCCTTTCACATCCTCCTTACCTGATCCTGCCAAGACTTCAGAGTCAAGACCATCAGCATCATGGTCAGTATCACTCTCCACATATTTCAAAAAAGAAGACTCTGGCTCACCTGATTATCTAGTTTCAGCTGTCGAAGCTTCATGGTCTCATCTTCAAAGGCACTATTTTAAAAAATGAAAAGAAAGCATATAATGAGAAAATCTGTTTAAAACCATGTCAATGTCATCTGTTCCACATATTGCTATGGGCTATTTGGAACCTATGAATTCTGCTTTAGGGAAAGTATCAGTTTCTAGATGCTGCCCACACTGACTGCAGGAGGACTTGACATCCTTACTGCCACACTTATTCCACAGAGGACCTGGGGAGACTGAAACACCCAAGTGATAAGAAAAAGATGTAGCCCTGGCCGGTTTGGCTCAGCGGTTAGAGCATCGGCCTGCGGTCCGGAGAGACCCGGGTTCGGTTCCCGCTAAGGGCATGTACCTCGGTTGCAGTTTGTCCCCGGCCCTGGTTGGTTGTGCGGGTGGCGACCACTCGATGTGTCCCTTTCACATCAATGTTTCTCTCTCTCTCTGTTCCCCTCTCTCCCTCCCACTCTATCTGAACAAAGAATGGAAAAATGTCCTCGGGTGAGGATGATAAAAAAAAAGAAAAATATGTAGCCTGGCCAGTGTGACACAGTGGTTGAGCGTCAACCCATGCACCAAGAGGTTGCGGGTTCGATTCCCAGTCAAGGCACATGCCCAGGTTGTGGGCTAAATCCCTTTTCTCTCTTTCTAAAATTAATAAAGAAAAAAAAAAGATAAAAATTATAGCTTTAAAAAAAATAAAAGCCCTGGCCGGTTTGGCTCAGCGGTTAAGAGTGTTGGACTGTGGACCAATAAGTCCTAGGTTTGATTCCGGCCAAGCACACATACCTCAGTTGCAGTTAGTCCTAGCCCCAGTTGGGGTCGTGCGGGAGGCAATCAATCAATGTGTCTCTCTCACATGGATGTTTCTCTCTCTCCCTCCCACTCTGTCTGAAAATAAATGTAAACATATCCTCGGGTGAGGACTAGAAAAGAAAAAGATGTAGAACACAGACTCTATACATGAAGGGATTTTTAAATTTTTTAAATCATATATCGAGTACTCACTATATTCCAGACACACGGCTAAGTGTTTTACACGCATTATTTTAGTTATTCCCCCCCCCAAACAATCCTATGACTTAGATACTGTTATTTTTCACACTTTGAAGATAAAGTAACAGAAAGTTGGAGAGCCGGGCATAAGGTTAAGCAGCAGAAACAGACCCAGTCCTGATCTCTTTCCAGAGTCTAATTTCCACCTAAGACCAAATATACTTTACTTTTGTTTTTGGAGCTAGTTCTAGTAGAATGAGACTGTGTATAGCATCTTATTATACAAGTTTGACATTAATGAAATATGCCAGTCATCGGAGACTATAAACAGACAAGATCTAATACCACTAGGAGACATTTTTTTTTTATGGAAAACAATAACAAAAATGGAACCAAATTATACCTTCAACTGATAAACCAAACTCTTTTGGACTTTTTAAATACTCTCTCTGAAGCCTTTCCTAATTTAAGATATTACTTTGTGACCCAGCACTCTTGGAAAGAGTAAACTATGAAACAAGGCAGAAATAATTCTCTATTATTTGTATTATAAATTTTTACTAGGAGCTTACTGTCAGAAAAAAACTAAAAACAAGGTCCTATTTAAGAAGACAAATTCCATGCCCTGGCCAGAGTGGCTCAGCTGGTTGCGGTGCTGTCCCATACTTGGAAAGGGCACAGACCTAGGTTGGGGGTCCCCATTCCCAGTTGGCGCATGTATGGGAGGCAGCTGATCAATGTTTCTCTTTTAAATAAATGTTTCTCTCTCTCTCCCCCTTCTTCTCTCTAAAAATCAATAGAAAACATCCTCTAGTGAGGATTAAAAAAAAAAAAAAAAAAAAAATGAAGACAAAGTCCATGGCTACAAAGGGAAGGAAGCATGGCTTTCCCTGCATTTGGGATAAATACAACAAAGCATCTACCCATGGTTTAATGATTTACCACAACCTTTCTACATTCTAAAAGGTTTGCCCTGGCCGGTTTGGCTCAGCGGTTAGAGCGTCAGCCTGCGGTCCAGAGAGACCCGGGTTCGGTTCCCGCTAAGGGCACGTACCTCGGTTGCAGTTTGTCCCCGGCCCTGGTTGGTCGTGCGGGTGGCAGCCACTCGATGTGTCCCTTCACATCGATGTTTCTCTCTCTCTGTTCCTCTCTCTCCCTCCCACTCTACCTGAACAAAAAAAAATGGAAAAATGTCCTCGGGTGAGGATAAAAAAAAAAAAAAAAAAAAAAAAATAAAAGGTTTTATGCATTTTAATAATGCATAGCAACTTAGAATTTGCATACCATCTCCAAGACCCTTCCTGCCTATTAATCCTTCAGCTATAGATGTGGAGGAGCATTCTGTCGGGTCCACGAACCAGTGCTCTAACCGCTGAGCCAAACCAGCCAGGGCAAAGGAGGTGCATTCTGATTTTCTAACAATGCCCTCTATTAATCCCCTTTTATCCTTTATGTTTCAAAAAACACTGGGTATTTAAAATAAATCATCTCCATTTTCCTTGCTGAAAAGAAAGACAAACAAATAAATAAAAATACTGGAAGTAATTCTGGCCTCAGCTCTGTGGGCACCTGCATTTCTCCTAGATATATGTTCCTGTCTTCCTTAACGTCGTCAATCCTCACTGACGTATTTTACAATTCTAGCTTTATAAATACAATGCTAGAATATTATTAGTATTCAGTAGATATTAGTATAAATCTAAAAAATTTCTACATAAATGGCTGAGAAAAAAATACTATGAATATTATATAGGAAAGGGTAACTTGGTGAAAAAAATCCACTGTATGGACTAGTATTTTCAACAACTACTCTATGCTTCTGCATTTCCAACTCACTCTGCCCTCAACCAGAATCGCAAAACCCTCTGGTATATAAAAAAGGGGGGGGAAAATCATCCTATCCCTGCCCCCCCCCCAATGCTAAAACCACTTCAATAAAGCTAAGTTCTGACACACAAGTGAAGTCCTCAAACATTTCTCTTAAGCCTTCTAATAGTGAAGAAACCAGGTGTGTTTTCAATGCCCTGTCTTGGCACCATGTAAATCCTTTCATCAAGTCTGGGCAAGCTGAGCAATTTAAATAACAGGCTATAATCAAAGCATTTAACCTTAACACAAGAGGCACTAAGAAGAAGCTATATAATTATAACATTTAGATGCCTCTTACATATCAAAAGCTACACTTTTTTTTCTGAGCTCTAGTGTTAAATAGTAACTTAGCAGAAATAATATATTCTATATACTTATATTAAATCTGAACTAGAATTTCTAGTCTAAACTGGACCATGACCTTATTAAATTTTCATTTTTCTTTTAGTACTCTCTTTCCCTCATTTCAAACTACATTGCTGAACAGCAAGTAAATTAACACAGAACATGAAGACTGATGGACGGGGTGCAGATGCGGAAAAGGCTCATCCCACACCCACATGTAGCGGATAAAAATCAGGAGGAGTGAGGGGCCCCAGCCCCACACCAGAGTTCTAGTGCCAGGAAGAGAAGTCCCCATAACTTCTGGGTGTAGAAACCAGTGGGATTACGGCTGAGTGAGATGGAGCGCTGCCGCAGTTCCTCTGAAAAAGGCCTGCTCACGGACTCAATCAGACTCATTCGCTCTAAGTTCCAGCACTGGGGCAGTAGCTCAGGAGGCGCCAGGGACAAACAGGGAGGAACTAACATGTCTGACATTAGGGCAAGAGCTGGAGGGGGCAGCTTTTTCCCACAGAGAAATGCTGGCAGAGGTCACTGCTCCTTTTCTGAGCCCTTCACACAGAGCCAGCAGGTGGGCACCATGCTGAGTATTTATCAACCTGGCAAACTGCCTGTCCCGCCCTGGTGATTCCCTGAGACCCCACCCCAACCAACTTTCAGGCCCGCCCAAGCTGTTTCCAGTGGCTTCCATATAAATGGCTTGACTTAGCTCACGCTTCAGACTTTCCTAAAATCTCTCAAGCAGCATCTGGCCTCGGAGAGGTGCAAACCTATTGCTACGTGGCCCCAGGCCTGGCACTAACAGCAGTCAGCCATGGGTAACAGTTTGCCTGTCCTGGGTACCTCCAAGCCCAGCATAAGTAACAGCCATCTGCAGATCACTTTGTAGCTCATGCTGGGTGGCCCGGGCAGAACACAGGCAGCAGCTGATGACCTTGGCCTGCACCTCCAAGGAGGCCCAGAACCAGTGCACCAGTGCACAGCTTCAGACCATGTCAAAGATCCACTCAACCATCTCCACAAGCAACACAATCAAGGGGCGGCCTCAGTGTGCATCAGAACCTTGCTTAAGTAAGTCCTGCTCCATAGGGTGGGCCCCTGCACAGCTGATCCTCCATGGTGGTTGGTGGTTGCAGCCAGTCCTTGCAGCCCATCAGCCTGGGGATAAATCTCTCCCACTGATGGGCCAACAGCAACCAAGGTTCAACTACAACAGGAGGATGTATACAGGCCACATGATGGGGGAGCACACCTGGAATGCCCAGTTTGGGTGATCTGGGAGACTGTACCACTGGACTCTACAGAACACCTACGACATAAGGCCATTCTACCAAGCTCTGTAGATGTAGCAGCTCTACCTAATATATAGAAACAAACACAGGGAGGCTGCCAAAATGAGGAGACAAAGAAATATGTCCCAAATGAAAGAATAGAAAAAAACTCCAGAAAAAGAACTAAACCAAATGAAGATGTACAATCTACCAGTTCAAAATACTGGTTATAAGGATGGTCAATGAACTTAGGGGAAGAGTAGATGAACGTAGTGTGAACAGCATAAAAAAAGAACATGAAAACCATAAAAAAGAATCAGTCAGAAATAGAAGATACACTAATTGAAATGAAGAATAATTTACAGGGAAATCAACATTGGAGTAGATTGAAGCCAAGACTCAAATCAGTGATTTGGAATATAAGGAAGCAAAAAATACCCAATTGTAATAATAAAAAGAAACAGGAATCCAAAAAATGAGGATACTTTAAGATAGCCTCTGAGATAACTTCAAGAGTACCAATATTCACATCTTGGGGGTGCTGGAAGGAGA